GGCTATTACCACAGAAGATTCTGTTTCTTAAGGAAGCCATTGTTACGGAGTGCCTACTACATAGATTTACTTCTATGTCTCCCAGTGTGGCAGGTTTGGGTTTTCTTTTTTTCTTTTTTTTTTTTTTTGCCATGCTGGGACTTGGACTCAGAGCCTTGAGCCATTCTACCAGCCCTTTTTTCAAGATTGGGTCTTGAGAACTATTTGCCCTAGCTGGCTTTGAACCTTGATCCTCCTGAGTAGCTAGGATTACAGGCATGGGCTACTGGAGCCCCGCTGTGTCTTTTTTATTTTTCTTAACGGAATTTCATTGTACTGATGAGAAAACCAAGTTCATCAAAATGAAATCAGCTGCTAGAAAGTAGCAGAGATGAGGATTGAGGCTCCAGCTTTCCAACTGTAAAGTCTACTCCTTTCACACCTCCTTTAGGCTTCCCCCCATGCTCTTCCTGCCTTTAAAACAAAATTTCATTCAAGAATCCCTGTGTTTCACCGATCCCTTGGGCATGTCTTTTGTCCTGGAGTGTACCTCACAATGCAGAGAAGTGCACAAATCTGGGAGAAGTTTGAGGGGTTTTCTTTTGTTGTTTTGGTGGTACTGAGGTTGGAACTCAGGGCCTCACACTTGCTAGGCATGCACTCTGATGGGAGAAGTTTTGACAAATATGTACACCTCCGGCCACACCCCAATCAGCATAAGGGGCATTTCCACCTCCCCGGAAAGTTTCCTGATGCCTCTTCACTAAACATACCTTTTAAATTAAAATAAAATAAGCTACTTCCCTTTGACCCAAACAACCTTTATGACTTGGCCATGGCATTATATCCATGGGGTCAATCCCTGAGGAGGGTACCCTGAGCTCTTTGGTATTGACAATCTCAAAAAGGGAGGCCCAGTTAAAATTTTGTGAACTGCTGGCTCCACCCACATTGAGCATCTGTGGATATGTGAATCAGGGTGTGATAGAGACGAGAAATACTACTAAGGCCTGATTCTCATCACAACTGCTCTCAGCATTTTTGTCCCTACCATGTGTCAGGCACCAGACTGACATTCTTACAACACACAACCTCATTTAATCCTCATAATTATTACCTTCATTTTACAGCTTTTGTCTGTAACTGGGTCTCAGAGAGGCTAGGTAACATACATAAGAACACACAGCTAGAAAATGGAAAGAGGTCTGGCTTCAGAGGCTGTTCCTCTTAACAATTGAGGCTGGTGGGTAAATTTTAAATCCCAAAGGTTGAATGGACTGGTTATATTCATTCAACAAACAGTAGAAAAGAGCTACAAAGTGGTAGGTGCTCAGGAGGAGGGTAATAGACAAGAAGACACAGGAAGAACAGGAGTGGGATAGAGGTTGCATCCAGGAAGTCCTCCGAGGGATGCTGGGAAGGTCATCCTGAGTCAAGTCTTTAAGGCTGAGTGGGAACTGGCCAGCTCTGGAGGATTTTAAGGTACAATTGATTGCTTATTTAACTTTAGTGAAATCAACCAAGTCAAATGTTCAGAACCTCACAGGAACTCAAAGCAAGCAAAACACCCCAGGTCTGAAGGATTTGCCTGTGATTTCTGATAGCCAAAGAACTCTTTTATTTTCTGAGCCCAGTTCGATGGGACTAGTTTTGTGATTCTTGTGGGGGGGAGGGGTAGCACTCAGCAGTAGCAAATGAGAAAGATATGAACAGTTGTACACACAGAACGAACAAAGAAGGGTCAGCCCATGTAGAAAGGCACCAAAAAGCAATAGCTTCTTTGAGCACATCATTGGGTTAAATAGAGTACAACAGCTTGCTCAACTCAACAGACATCTAATAAGCTCCAACTGTGTACTAGGCCCTCTCTTCAGCTAGACAGAGAATTAAAAACATACACAATGCAGTACTGCCCAGTTCAGTTTAGTAGAAACGAAATCATAGAAATTAGGACAAAAAGAATGTCAGGTTGTACAGGGTCTCTGTTCAACTGTGTAGATAATGAAGGGTGGCCAGACGGCAGGGAACTCAGCTGTCACTAGAGTCTGAGAGATAGTGCTTAAGAGTGTGGGCCCTGCAGGGCGAGGTGGCACAGGCCTATAGTCCTAGCTACTCGGAGGTAGAGGTAGGAGGACCATGATCCAAGGCCAGCCTGGGCAAAAGCATGACACCCTGCCTGAAAAACTAAAAAAGCAGGACTGGGGGCATGGCTCAAGTGGTAGAGCACTTGCCTACAAGTGCAAGGCCCTGAGTTCAAACCCCAGTACCACCAATAAAAAAGTGTGAGCCCTGCAGCCAGACTGTCTGCATTCAATAAGCAATACACTTAACTTCCCTTTGCCTCAGTTTATTCTTCTGTATAGAGGGATTCAGTAGTACCTTTTCAAAAGAACATTGAAGATGAAATCCATCAATAAACAGACTAAGGCTGGACACGTATTGGCTGTCTTTACCTCTTACCCAGTGCTCCCTCAGAAACTGCTCAATAAATATTGACCAACAAATGAATTCACAAATGAATAAATAAGTGTTGCTACTGAGTTAAAGGGAGAAATCTATTCTGACAGGTGTGCTTTCCTGAATAAGGCTTGCAGCTCAGAACGATTGCCATGCAAAACAGTCTAGGAAATAGCTGAACGTTTCATGTATGCTGGGATGGCTAAGTCATTACTCACTCATTCCTCTGCTCTTCTTCATACATGTCCTGCCATGTGAACAAGCCCAAAGAGGCCAGATGAAGAGATCACCATGAATTATAGCACTGTCTCCTGCCAAAGAGGGCTGAATCCAGGGCCCCCAAAATTTCTGTGGTGTGGGAAACTAACTTTGTGATGGCTGCAAGTCCCAACCGCCACATTCACCCTGCCCAAAACCAAACTCTGTGTTCTTCCCTTTCCTTAAATTATCCTTACTCCAAAAAAGATAAACACAAACACTGTCATTAAAAGATGTGAAGGATCATAAAAGTTAAATCTGTTTGAAAGAGAAAAAGGCTACTAACAGAGTTACAAAAGGACCTGGTGTGTGTTATATATTTCGAGCCCCTTGTTTTGCCCCTGAGGGAACAGTCGCAATTTAAGAAAACGGCATGTGATTGAGCAGGACGCCCAGATTCGCAGAACAAAGCTCCTGAGGAAAATGCAGATCCCTCAAAACCGAGGGAGAAAAAAAGAGGAGATCCCAGCCCCAGGAGGAAGGTAAGGAGTCTGTGAAGGAGTGGTACAGAGGTAAGGGGGACACTGGGAGCCGGGCGCTAATGGGAAGAAAATTAAGCCCATCTGGGCTTTTTGGTGGTGAGCAAGCTTCCAAACAAAGAATAATCCACTCCAAAGCTCCTGGGTTTTGCAGGTGAACCGCCCCTCCCAAGCCGCTTCTGAAGAAGCACATACAAACCCCAAGGTCTTCTTCCCAGATGTTTCCAGATGTCGTGTGTGTGTGTGTGTGTGTGTGTGTGTGTGTGCGCGCGCGCGTGTGTGTGTGTGTGTGTATGTGTGTCCTCACTGATATCATCTCGGGGTTATGCCCTCCTTCTGCTGGCAGCAGAGGGGGAAGGGCTTTGGCAAAGAGATCCCTGAAGATCTCTGGGATCAAGACGCATGCAATATCGCCCCCCGCCCCCCCCACTCCCTTTGCTCCTTCCTTCCCCTCCCCCACCGATGATCAAATCCAGGTGAAGCTGCAGGGCGGGTTTCCAAGGGGTTTCGGCTGGAGCCGCGCTCCCCCGGCCCCTGCTCGCTCCCGCGCACACTCGCAGGGCGCTTACGCACACACCGACTCCCATGCACACACGCACACACTCGCACGCACACACTTGGCACCGCGAGAGGCCGAGCCGCGCCCGCCGCATCTTTCCTTATGGTCCCCGGGAAGCAGACAGGCAGCAACATGAATGAAATCTGCCCAGAAAGGCTGCATTTCAGCTCCGACCACGCAATCTCCGGCCAAACCGCCGAATATGTAGCAAAGTTTTATTTCGCTTCTACAGTCTCCAGTTACGCTTCTACCATTTCCTGTGGAAAATTGAAGCTTTGAAGTGTCTTAAGGCCGCGGCTCTTGCAGACTGGCAGGACCGCCAGAGCAAGCTGTCTCGAAAACAAGCGTCCCGGCCCCACCCCCTCCGCCGCCAGAACTGAGGGTTCAAACCCACCCAGCTCGGGCCTCCAAAATAGGGAGGTGCGGGGAGGGGGTTTCAGAACCCGCTGGAAACGACGCACTAAACTGACAACCCCCTCCCGAACCCCGCCCCATCTCCATCCCGCCCAGGGCCCTAGTGGCGCTCCTTCAGCCAAGTGGTGACAGATGCAGATCCCTGCCAGAGGGAACCAAGAGCGTCTAGAGCTGGGAGGTCGCAGTTGAGGGCTTTGTCCATTGCTAAGCCTCCACCAGCTGTGTGCTCTGGCCCCCAAAAAACTGCCCGGAAAAACTTGGAGCTGGGGAGTGTCGCGCTCCGCTCTTTCACCACACACACCTCTCCTGAAGGTTTCTAGGCCAAGCCAGCTCTGAATCCTTCTGACTTCGCGACCCCTGGCCCCTCCTCCCCGAGTGCACCTCCAGCGTCCCCCGAGGGCATGGGCAAGTATGAGAACTGGGTGACAGAGAGAAGAACGCACCCCTTCCGGAGTCCTAGACAGCCCAACTCATGTGCACGAGAATGTGTCATCTTAAAGATCAAAACAAACAGGGTTCTGGTAAAAGGTGGGTAATAGGCGCAAATGATCAAACCCGCTTTAAAGAAAAAAATGGTGTTGGGTTTCTGCGGTGGCAGCCACCACCCTGACGCGCACAGGGGGCGGAACCTTGCGCTCCGGGACCTGGGACCTTACCAGCCGTGTTCAGTACGAGGATCCGAACAGCAGAGTCAACCTGCGGCCTTCTAGAGATCTCCAGCCCCGCCGCACCCTCAAAGCTCAGGACTTGGCGGCTGGTGCCCCAAAAGACCCGGGAGGGGAACGCGAGGCGAACTTGCGCCAAGAGTTGGCCGAGTTGGGTTGGGAGAGAGAGGCACCGGCGCAGTCACTTACCGCTGGCATTCTTCCCGCAGATGAGGTGCTGGTAGGGCTGCAGGAGCCCCCAGATCTCCGAGTCGTTGTTGACCGTGTGCTCCAGGGTCTCCACGGTGAACTTGGGCGCCTCGTGGAGCGCGTGGTGGTGGTGGTGGTGGTTGGCGGCGGCGGCAGCGGTGGCCGGCGGGACTGCGGCGGTCGCCGGGGCTGGCGGGGCGCAACAGCTACTGCCCCCGCTGGCACTGCTGGCTGCGCTGCAGGCGCCGCCGCTCGCCGCTCCCCCTCCCGGTGCCTCCCGCTCCTTATCCGCCGCGGGGGCCGCACCGGGGCCTGAGCTGGGGCCTGGGCCGGAGCCCGGGCCGGGGCCGCTGCAGCTGCGGGGAAGCCCGGAGGCCACGACCCGCGCGTAGATGTCCCGGAAGAGGCTCTCCATACAGGCCGTCAGGTAGATGGCGGCGTGCTCGTGGATGCGCAGCGCCACGCGGCTGTCCACCATCCAGCGGTACACGCGGCCCACGGAGAAGGTGAGGCCGCAACGCGCCGACTTGCCACGGCCCAGACGGTCGCCTCCAGCGCTGCTCATGTTGTAGAGGGACAGTGCGGCCAGAGCGGCCGCGGTGCACTGAGCCGCCAGGCCCCAAGACAGCACGATCTCCATGGCGCTCTGGATCTCGTACTTGGTGCACTTGGCGAAGCGCAGGCTCAGGCGCTGCGCCTCTTTGGCGATGCGCACCAGCGCCCGGCTCACCAGCATCGATAGCTTGGCCAGCGCGTCCTTGGGCAGGCTGCCGGGGGCCGCTGGGCCTGCCCGGGGATCCCGCGAGCGCAGCAGCACCGCCTCCAGCTCCTGGAGGGTCCAGGGGACCTCGTCGAGGTCCGGCAGCAGCCGCGAGCAGTGCTGGCCAGCGCAGTCCAGCCCCTCGGAGTCTTCCACCAGGGCAGTGTTGACAGTGTCAAAGCTGTTGTGCCGGCTGTGCATGGAGTCTGCTAGAGGCGGCCAGCAGCTCCCGCCATACGGGGACGCCGGGTGCGAGTCGGAACAGCACAGAGACAAGTTGGAGGAGCGCACCGAGTCCGCCGCGCCACCATAACCCGAGTCCAGCGTCAGATCCTCCAGCGTTCTCACCACCGGCTTCTTACCTCTCCTGGCCATCACTGCGCCACTTCATGCTGCGGCCGCCGGGGAGCCGAGGGGAAGGAGCGGCGAGGAGCAATGGGCTGGCGCCGGGGGTCGCGGGGAGAGCGGGCTCCACGCCTCCTCGGCTCACTTTCCCACCAGGCGTTATCACCAAGTATTACTACTTTGGGCTGAGTCCCCGAGCCGCCGCCGCTGGAATACACAGGACAGACCCTGGAGTCATCTTCTGGAGTCCTGGCCAGAACTGGGGCGCAGTGAGAAGCGAGCCAGGCCAGGAAGGAAGCCCCTGCCAGGACTCGCCCCTTTCATCCAAAATAAAAAAGTGCCCGGCCCACTCTTCCTTAGACCCGGATGGGTGCAGAAGCCGCCGGGCACTGGCTACAGTGTCCCTAGGACCGAGATCGCCCCAGGTGCCGCCGCCGCAGCTCCGCGGGCGGGCTCCCAGCTCCCGGCTCCGGGCTGCAGCTCGCTCCGCGCCCTCCCGCCCCGCACTGAAGCACAGTAGCTGCCAAGGCGGCAGCAAAACCTGCCGAACCCCAGCGAAACCCCAGCAGCCAGCGGGGCGGGTATATGCAAAGCAGAGCCTGCGGAGAGCCAATGGAATCGGGGGATGCTAATTGCTTCGTTTTTTTTAAAATTCCTGTTCACCACGCGGCCCCGCCCCTCAGACACGCCCCCGGCCTTGACCAAAGCTGCAGCTAGTGGGGAGCAGAGGCTTAGGTATCCGGGGGCTGGTCGGAGCGCGGAGACGTGGAGGCTGCTACACTGCCGTTGTCCCTCCCTGCCCCTCTGGTTCCCGGCTTTGGAACCATTAGGTTGAGCAGGTGACCTCCCCACCAAAGTGTGCTCTTCCTCAGAGATCCAGAGTCACTTTGTGTCCCTTCGTTTCTCTTTCTCCCCCGCCCCCCATACATGAAGCATGTTTTTCCTTCCTCTCTCTATCCCGCAACCCCCTCACCCCCCACACACACCTTCGGGTACCCAAACCAATTCAGATGTCTGTTTCAGCCCGAGTTTGCTCCAGCTTGGAGGAAATAACCTAGGCGAACAGAGGGTTATGCACACCCCTGGGAGGCCGAATCTCTGGACATAAGCCACCTGCCACCACCACGCTTGCTAGGGTTTTCTCAGCAGGCAGAAGGACCCCGGGCTCATCCTTCAGAGTCCCGGGGGTTAGCTGCAGGGAGAGCTCACATAGCTCTTTGCCATTCTGGTGGATACCATTCCAGACAGCTCAAGCTTAAAAAAGGTTAATTTGTCAGAGGTGAGTTGCCTTTGTTGACTAATGAAAGATAGAATATATATACATGACTTAGCTGTATTTCTATGTCAAATGGCATTGCCTTGGCTACTTGTCTGTCCACAAGCATCCCAGCAGAAACTGCACCTTATTCATCTGGGAACCCCTAGCTTCCCACAGCTTAGAAGACCTCTTCTACAGAAAGCCCACCCAGATCTCCCAAAACTAGCTTGGTCCTTCCATCGACCCCTCCTTCCATGACTGCAAATTTCTTGTTACAATAGGTAGCTACAGTCTGCTTATTTATCTAGATTCCACATGGGCTAGGAGTTGGCACAGAGAAGGAGCACAACAAATATGTGTAAACTGATGAAGGAAGGAAGGACATGCTTTGACCTGTTGACCATTCAGGTCAACAGGTGTACGCAAAGATGCTCAACATCACCTATATCAGGGAACTGCAAATCAAAACCATAATGACCTGTCACCTCACACCTGTTAGGATGGTGATTAGCAAAAGGTCAAAAGATAACAAGCATTGGCAAGGAGGAAGGAGCGTCCTATACACTGTTAGTGGGAACGTAAATTTGTACAGCCATTATGGAAAATATTGTAGACACTCCTCAAAATACTTAAAATTAGAACTACCATATAAGCCAGAAATTCCACCTCTGGATATTTAGTCAAAGGAAATAAAATTGATATCTGGACGAGGTATTTGCTCTCCCATGTTTACTGCTGCATTATTTGCTATAGATGAGATGTGGAAACGACCTATCACAGAAGAATGCATATATATATGTGGAGAGAGAGAGAGAATGGAATATTATTCAGTCTTTAAAAAGAAGAAAATCCTAGCTGGTCATGGTTTGTCCACGTCTGTAATCCCAACTACGCTGGAGGTATAGGTAGGAGTATCAAGGTTCGAGGCCAGTCTCAGGCAAGAAGCAAGAGACCTTATCTTAAAAAAAAAATAACCTAAAAGCGAAAGGGCTGAGGGTGTGGCTCAAGTGGTAGAGTGCTTGCCTAGCAAGCAAGAGGCTCTAAGTTCAAACCCCAATACAGACAAAAATAATAAATAAATAAATAAATACAAAGAAGGATATTCTGTCACTTGTGACAATGTGATGGACCTAGAAGACAAGCTAAGGAAAATGAATCAGATACAGAAAGACAAATATAGTATTATCTAACTTATATGTGAATTTAAAAAAAAATCAAACTCACAGTAATAGAAAGTCGAATGATGGTTACCAGAGGCAGATGGGTGGGGGACAAGAAATGTTTGTCAAAGGTACAGACATTCAGTTCTAGAGAACTAATAGCATGTAATAATAATAAGGTTTAGCACACACTGCTGAGTGCAGTGTCATATGCCTGTAATCCCAGTATTCCAGAGGCTGAGGCAGGAGGATCCTCAGTTTGAGGCCAGCTTGGGCTACATAGGGAAAGCCTATCTTGAAAAAAAAAGAAAGAAAGAAAGAAAGGAAAGGAAAGGAAAGAAGGAAAGAAAGAAGAGAAAAAAAAGGAAATTTTCTGAAAGTTTTCTTACCACACACAGAAAAAAGGTAACTATGAGAGGTGATGGATGTGTCAGTTACCTTGGTTTCAGTAATTACTCACAATGTGTACATATATCAGAACACCACGTAGTACATCTTAAACATACATAACTTTTATTTGTTGACCATTTCCTCAGGAAAGCTGGGGACAGTGGATGCTCCAATGTCTCCATATCTGCGATCCCAGATCCACCATTGCTCTGTACAAATGCTCCTGCCCTTCCACTTTGACTGTTAGCGCTTTCCCCAACCAGCCTCCTCTCCTGCCTCTTCTTCCTCCAAACCATCCAGTCCAAGAATCTTGCAAAATCCTAGCTCTCACTTTGTCATTCAAAACTGTATCTTAGCTAAAATACATGCAAAGTCTCCTCATAGCCTCACAGGCACACAAAGTTCACCTGTTCACAAACTCTCTGTTCCTAGCTCAAAGATGTTCCCAAGAGATAGATGGTCTTATGATGGGAATCCTGCCTTCCTCTCACCCCAGCATCCTGAACACGCACTCTCACACAGACACACGGAGAAGCACACACACGTACACACGCATAACACGCATGCGCACACACGCCCTAGGCTCCAGGCTTCCTCCTGTCTTTGTAGATGCTGCCCCCTGTGCTCGAACACTGGCCTTCCCCCTTCTCCACCTGGTATCACCTTCCTTCTCATCCTGTACAATTCAGCCCCAGGTGGACACAGCCAGGCCATTTTCCCCATGCTGCCTGCTCTCCACCCAGGCCAGACAGGGGAGGGGCCCATCCCTATTGCTTGGGGCTCCCTTTCCTCCTCCATGTTTCCCTGGTGATCTCATCCCTTCTGCCTTCACACGTACTGCCTACATGCTGACAGGTGCTTAGTGGCGCACAGACAGGAAGGGAACCAGGAAGAGCCTCAGGGATAGGGGGACAAACACCTGAAAGCACTGGGTTTAGCATCAATTTGCTTTCTTCTATGGTGCCAGATTGACTTGGGTCCATTCCTGTCTCTGCTTTTCCAATCATATACCTAAGGCCGCTTGTTTGTGCATCTGCATCCCCGTTCCTTATCCTGCAAATCCAAAATAGTCACGTGCACCTTATAGAGTAGTAGGAGTTAAATAAGATCTTTCCATAGCTAGGGTTTAGGATTTAGCACAAAGTCCCACATAGAATAGCTCGATAAATACCTGTTAGTATCTTTTACTTTTTCCTATTTTCTGTAACAAACAGTTACTTCTTGTGTTGTCAGAAGAAAAAAAAATGTTTCATATAAAATAAGCCACCTCCTCCAGGAGGCTTTGCCATATCATGACAGACATGGTCTTTCCTCTTCTTAAGCTGTAGATGTTGTGCGCTTGTTCCCTCTCCCCTTCTAGATGGCGCACCCCTCAAAAGCAGGGATCTTACCCCTGGCCCCCCTGATGTGGTGCCAGTACTACTGAGCACACCCCTTAGTGCTTTGGAGAAACCAACGCCTAGGTCTGATTCATTCACAAAAGTAAATCCTTCATGGTGTGAAGCAACTGAGGGTGATGACTTCAGAACCCTGACAAGGACAAGCCTGCCAACCAAATGTTAAATATCAGCCACGTACCATTAGAGAAAATTAAATGATTTAAAATTCTACCTCATGAAAATAAATCAACATTAACAATTTGTATTGCCTTTTAGGTTGGTGGTGGTAGTAGTGGTGATAATGGGGTTTGAACTCAGGAACTTGCTAGGTAAGTGCTCTACCATTTGAGTTGCAACCCCAGCCTTTTTTGCTTTGATTATTTTTGAGATAGGGTCTCACATATATGCCCTGGCTGGCCTTGACCTTGATCCTCCTATTTAAACTTCCCCGCGTAGCTGAGATAATAGACACAAGCCACTATGTCCAGCTTTTTATGGGTTGGAATAGGGTCTGTCCAGCTTTTTGCTAAGACTGGCCTCCAATCATGATCCTCCCAATTCCTACCTCCCAAGTAGCTAGGATAACAGATGTGAGCTACTGCACGTGGCCCTCGAGTGTTTTAAATTATTTTCTCCAGCTTTTTCCTTCTGCACGCATGTAAACACACACGTTTGGTTTTTTGAGGCAGGGTCTTTAGATTGAGTTCTTTAACTTCTCTGTGCCTGGCATAGAACTTGAGATCCTCCTGAATCTGCCTCCCTAGTCTGGAATTACAGGCATTATACCACTATGCCCAGCCATATTTACCTATGTTGGGGATGATTCTGTAAATTATTTTGCATTATGATTTTTCCTTAAAAAATTTCCTCAAACTTTATAATAGAATCATTTCCCCATGCTATTAAATAGTCATCCAAAATACTCTTTCTTTGTGACTACAAAATATTCCAAGGGTATGTTTTTACCTTAATTGGTATATTGATCCCCCAACTGGTTGTTTCTGCTTATTAACAGACATAAGTCATGCTTGGATGAACATAAATAATGCTTCCAAGATACAAGTCTTGAATATGTTATCGTCTAAGAAATCCAAGTAAGTAATACGTAAATACTAAAGATTTAAAAATTTTAAATACAGACATTAAATGACTGGCATTATTTTGTCTATCAGACTAGCAAGGTGTATACAGTAAGTCTTGATGAAAGCTTGTCACAACAAAAGATAAACTGGACCAATCTCTCGGGAGGGTAGTCGGCCAAAGTGTATGAAAGGCACACTCGTGACTTGCTGTATATCAGACCTTTAGACACTACTCACAGTGATCCTTACATGTTTTTCAAAAGTAATGTGAGGTGGTTTTGG